AAGAGTGAAACCTTGGAATAATTGTGCCAGCATAAATGTTCCATCGTACAGCTATTTGCTTGGATTTTTAAACATTTATGCATTTGTCTTCAGGCCTCCAAAAGCAAAGCAATTACTGTCAGTCAGGAATCGAACAGCTTTCATCATTCCCATGTTAGCTTTCTCTTTTAGCACAATAAACTGTTGTAACTTTTGGAAACAAATTAATCAGATTTGTTAAATGAGCAATATAACTACTTCATGCTTTCTCACTTTTAAATTTCATTTTCCTTCTAGTATCTACTGAAAATTGGTACGGTGTCTTGGTGTCACCTTGTACTGAAATAAGCATTTATGATACATTAATGTTCAATAACATATGTTAAGCCTTTTGTCAACATGTGACTGAGTATTTCCATAGTGCTGGTCAACATGCATCGTATCAGTGTGGCTGTAGTTCCTTTCACATGGGTAGGACTTTTCTCTATGGATTTCTGGAGGTGGTATCACCTCTGTCTTCCTTCAGACTGTATTCATAATTCCCAGCGTAGTTATGTCAACATGAGAGAAACACAATTCTTTAGTAACGTGATTTTTGATATCTCCCCCCCACACCCCGCCTTGCTCCACATACAGGTGGTTTAACTTGCAAAGTGTCTGCTCCACACCTGGGAGCGTTTTTCATACTCATTTTCACATTTTTAGAGTTTCAAAAGTCCTTTGGGTGAAGAACAGTAGAGGAAAGTCTTTCCTGAGAGTAGAAGAAACCATCACACCAAAGTTGCAGGTGCTTCAACGTGTTGTGACAAGTTTTTTAACATATGCCGTGCCAGTGTGCTTGTGCCAGCTCCGGCTGGAATCTTAGGGCAGTCAGTTAAAAAATGCTCATGTGAAGCTGTATTTGAGTTTAAGCTTTGTGAAATATACAGTGTTGTTTTTCCAACTAGTCTTCTAAGTAGACCTTGAACTCTCATGACCAAAGCTGCGTTTCTGTAACTGACATTGTAACATACCTGATTGTATGTTACAATGGTGGTTCGTAAATCCAGTTACTGCTGTGTATTGCCAACACACAGTTATTCCACACAGACAGCAGCTGAGTTGTTCTCTGGATTGGAAAGGAGAGAACGTTTTTTCTGATGCCACAGAGAAGTCCTGTAAATAAAACCTAGGTGCTTTTTGCTGAAACGAGTCATTCGTTGGCTTGGAGCGCCTGAATGTTGAACAGATGAATAGATTGGAACTTAATTTACTTTTAAGAGATGATGGAAACAGCGTGGCTTTGAACACAAAATTCTCCCAGATACTTCAGACACAACTGTTGTTGTCCATGATGCCTAGCTTTTTCTTTACCATTGTAATTTGAGAAAATCTTTGTGTACGACAGAAGAGCTTCCTAAAGGACACACTGATTTCAAAAGGTTTTAGAAGTCACTTGTTTAATCCTGAATTTCATCAAGCACAACACAACAGTAAAATCCAGATTTACTGGAGGGAAATTCTGATGTCTTCATTAAGACTCCCTTTTTTCACCTGTCTCTCCCAGGTGGCAAAGCTGGCAGCTCTTTCTTCAGGTCTGCCATTTGTATGTTTTACTGTATATGCAGCAACAGAGAAAGAATCAAAAAGTCACCTGGTGAAACCAGATCAGGTAAGAATCTTACTGTGTGTCAGTCTTTTAGTACTAGGAGAAACTGCAGAATACCATCTCTTTCCATTGAATTGTATTACCTCGTATATAAAATGCATAGTTAAGTAATACGTGATAATAAAAATTGCCTCCTAAATAACTGACCGTTATAGCACAAATAAAATGAAGTGTGGTAAAGTTTTCTCTCATTCTCATTATTATGTTATTTCCAGACTGAAGCCAGGAAAGGTAAAAGAGTGTAACACTGATCATAATAGTGTTTTCTGTTGTACTATTTCTAGCACTACATGTGTGCATCTTCCAACTATTCTTGCTCATGCCTTTTCTGGATAAAAGGTTGTTTTTATCAAAGTAATTCTATTTCTTAGAACCTATACAATACTTCTCAGTTTTTGTTTCTAAAGAACTAACCTGTGGTCACCCTTGTGTAAAGTAAGTTTGTAAACACAAAAGAGCACAGTTTGATGTAGAGCTTTTGGTTGCTGTAGTGGGAACTCCAAGTATTTGCAGTCCTGAAAAACACTAGTCAGTGTAAATACAGTGTACAAAGCTATCCCCCTGCAGTACACTTACACTTTTCTTTCCAGCTACCAATTTACTGTCCGCCACCTCTGACATCGAAATATATTGAAGAACAGCCCGGTCACTTGCAGAAGCAATTCTCTTCAGTAAGACAGACAACTGGGCGCTATATTGGATGGTGCAAGGTAAGAAAGTCCTGCATCCAAAGTTTCCTACAATTCTGGACAGAACTAGACTAAAACTGTGGAAAAACCAGCATACTTTACCCAGGAGTATTTTTTGCAGTTCCTTGTATTAGCATACATCTGTAATTTTAAGATGCAAAAATGAACCCTTCTCTCATTTTTCTCTGCTGTTATATAACAGAGATTGTGTGCATTCCCCCTGTCTTCCATGTCCAAAGGCAGCAAGAAAAATAGGTTCCCTCCAGCCAGTGCTAAACTGGTTCTAGATCAACGCACAATGTCAGGTTCAGAAATGTCTCTTGGTTAACTTCTACAGCAAGAGTTACGTAGGTAAATTCTTGCTGGCAGAACTTGATAGTGTTTAGGAGTCTGAAATTCCAGGTACAGACCACAGAGAGAGCTGCTTCTGAAGCATGGGTTAAAAGAGCTGATTCAGGTACTTCAGGAAAGGCAGGCTGAGTGCATCCTATGTAACTGTTAAAGCAGGCTTTTAATAACTAGTCATCAGAAATACCTCGCACTATATTATTGAACAGTCTGGGCACAGAAGAAAACGTGGTACCTGTCACCATTCTCTTAACTGCTGGTAAATGACAGCTTCACCCTGGCTGCTCTTAGTATGAATTTTTATGTGTGTATTTTTCTCTTACAAACAAAGTAGACCTTATTATTTGAAAAGCCAAAGAAATCAAAATGTCTTCGTGTATTTTCTGTGAATTCTGATTCCTTTGGCCTGAAAATTTTGTCAGTGGCTGCATAACTGAAATCATTTAGTTCTAAATCTGCATCAAACTTTTCCAGGCCCTTGATCATCAAGTGTTTCCGAGATTGAAGAGCAGTGACCTCTGGTGGTACAAATTCTGTGCTACTGCAAACAAATGATTTCGGTGAAGTAACTCAAGATGCCATTCTTTTCATTAAACTCCTAAAGAATTTTACTCAATTTATTTAGCAATCTGAGGACAATGACACTAATAATGTGATACAAGAAAGGGTTTTTTCCTGAATAAAGAAAAAGCTTGTAATTAAAGAAATTGACCAATTTAAAAGGAGTAATGCAAACTAGTTGAGCACATCTTGGTCCTAATTAGTATTGCTTGTCTTTAGTGAAGGTGAGCACTGTTTTTGCAAACTAAAAGACAAAGTGAGTTTTACTGGGAAGAGGAGATTGTATTTTGTAATTGAATTTTCTTATGTTGTACTGTTGGTGTCCAGATGTTTTGCTACCCTTCAGTTTTGTTCCCGAGATGTTAATTTTGAAAGTGGTTTTGCTACATTAAAAAGATATTTTTATTTTTTTTTAAATGAAATATGAATGGAAGTTTTAAAAATATAAATATGGTGGATTGAGCTGGTTTGTGGGTTTTTTAAGTTACATACTATTTGTCTCATTATGTTAAGCCACATGTTATCAACCAAGTAGTTTTATTGAAAGCATCTACTTTTGCAAAGATTTTACATTTCTTTCCTCTGTTTTGGTTTTTATTTTTTTGGTAGGATGCTTTTCTCTTTGTTAAAAATGGAGTCGTGGATTCAATTCAGTTTGGAAAAGGTAGGCAAGTCACATCTCTGAATTAGGCATTTTCTGTTGTTTCTTCTTGCGGCTTAGATGGTTGAAGCAGCAAATTCCAGATATGGGGAGAAGAGAGGGAAGGGGTGGAAGAGGAGTGCATGGGAATGCCTTCTGCACGTGTGGGAGAAGGAAACCTGCACTACTCTTAATTCGCTATGGAGTTTCATTTCTGTTCTCAAATGAGAGAAATGACCAGTTAAATAGTACTTCTTATTCCTTTGATTTTAGCTTTGTTCTTAAAATATTAGCATCACAGAATCATTGAAGCTGGAATTCCTATAGATCCATAGGTCTCCTTGTAGAGGCACCTCTATAGATTACCTAGTCCAGCCACCTGCTTGGAGCAAGGTCAAAGCAGGTTGGTTGTCTCTGTCCAGTCAGGTCTTGAACATCTGGAGGGGTGGAAATTCCACAACCTGTCTTAGTTATAAAAACAGCTTCTCGATTCTAGCACAAGTTACAAGCAGTATTTGCACTTAAGTTCAGTATCAGAAACTATTATTTTCAGGTAAATTATTTTCCCTAAAAACAGTATATTGGGAGATTCCAAAGTAAGTGGTGTCTCATTTCATGTACAGTAACTCAAAGTAAATCAAAACTTAAACCTCCGCTTTCCCTATTAAGGACTTAGAAAACACTATAAAGTCTCTAAGGAGAAAACCTGTTAACTTTGCTGCTGTGTTAATATCAACTGTGTCAATATTAACTGTGGGTTAATATTAAATTGCTATGCTTTTTTTGTTGTTGTTTTTAATTCTAAGATGCTTACATTTACCTGAAGGATCCACCACCAGAATTTCTTCCCAGAGTTGGTGTCATTACAATATCAGGCTTAGCTGGCCTAGCACTGGCAAGAAAAGGTAGGGTTTTTTGCTTGTTTTCATTATCAGTGTGTTGAATGTGTAGCATGTAATAATTCTAATGGTCAAAGGGCTTTTCTGAAACCTATGGAACTGATAAAACCTGAAGAAACCTATGAAACTGATAAATTGAAGGGACATTATCAAATGCTACTTTTAGAAGCTGGCTAAGACCTAATAGAGCAGGATTATATAGACATTTCTAATAGTGCTATCAACAGAAATTCAAAGTAGGACACTAGTTTTGAGTTCGTTCCTTGCTGGTTTTGAGGAACTGTGTGTATGGGAAGAAATTGGAGACAAATTAACAAGTAAGGTTACTGCATACAGTGAAAACTAGAGGAATTTAGAGGGAAGTTGCTAAAGAATGTTGGCGTTTGGCTTAACAAGTGCAAGAGAATACATGTCAGAAGGCATGGTTTCAACTGTTTTGAAGCCAGAAGGGTAATTTAATAGATACAGCTGAATGACACAGACCTTCTTGTCAGTTTTCACTATATTGGAAAATCTAGTTTGGGCTTTTTCCTCATTCAAGAAACCGGTGTTCAGAGTATCAGTATCTCCTGCAAACGTGACTGTACTAAGCTATAATCACGCTCTGTATACTCTTCTTCAGCTGTTACGGGGATAAGTTTGATGTAAACAATGGTTAGGGGTTAAACAACTACACAAGTGCTTGGCTTTACATTTCACTGGTGTCTGATTATTTGAAATATTTGGCTTTATACAGGTTCTAGATGGAAGAAAATTGTTTATCCACTTGGACTTACTGCTTCAGGAATTTCTGTTTGTTACCCAGCTCAGTCAGTGGTATTTGCTAAGGTAAGTTTACACGTATTTTAATGTTGAGTTAACAGTGAATTTAGTCATAGCATTCTCATCTGTCTTGGATTTCAAGTGTTATGGGACTAGCAGTCAGAATTCACATGCATCTTCATTAGAACATACAATGGTGTTAATCGTATAGTTATAAAAAAGTAATAACTGAATTTTAAAATGCAGCCTCTTGATTTTTTAATCGTTTCTAAAATAAAGGAAGATAATTAAATGAAAGTAAATAAAAAATAAAGCCGTGCCAAACTTGATAGAAACGCAATTTGAGATGCTATAGGATAGCATCTTGTGTTAGAATTTCTCATTTCCAGTTATTGTCATCTTGGTGGTGTCTACCTGACATTGCCAAAACACTGTTGGCTGATCAGGTTTTGATTTCTTTTTGAGTAGGTGAATGTAGCATGTGAGTGCTACTTGTGGATTTCTAATACCAATTTAAACACTGTTTAGGATTTGCTTGATGTAAGAGAAATATGCACGACATCTTGCAAATAAGCTGCATTTCATTTGTATGATCTGTGTATTTTAGTATTTGTAAAGCTGTTTTTAAATTACATTTTTCCAAATAGGTAGCAGGGAAAAAGCTGTTTTCTGCAAGCCATCAAACCTATGGGGCTTTGCAATCACTGTGGGCAAAAAATGAAGATGTCACCAAGGTAGGCTTTCTCAGTAATGTCTGTAACTCCTAAATGCAGACGGAGAAAAAAGTAAATTGGAAGGTCAAGTTCTGGTTGCTGATACTGTTCAGATTACTTATTGTATCAAGTGAGGCACAAAACCCCTGTGATATTTTTGTAACTTCAGTGTTTAATTGATGCCATAGTTGTTACACCTTTCACACCGATGTATACTGCGATCACCTATGTAGTCCCACAATGCATGCAAGATGCATAAGGGAAAACCACATTTCTCTTATGGCTCATTTTTGATCTTGACAAAAACAATCCATTCTGATTCAAGCTTTGGTTCTAAGCAGACCACTGAATTTAAGATAAAGATACAAAGAATTACAGTAAGTATAACTGGCTTAATACTTAAACATATCAGTGTAAATTACATACGGAATTTGGGTTAATACATCCTGGACTTAAACATGTTTTTTCTCCAGCCTGAAAGGGTTTTTCTCCAGTGGAAGTTTATAAACCCTTGGCAAGAGTAGCACTTTCCAGAGTAAAATTTCTGCTTTGCACAGTGATTTTTTTTTTTTCCTCTTTTTAAAGAAGATGAAGGTTTCTCAGTTATATGAACATGCAGAAGTATTTAATTTGCTAAATTTATGGTGTTCATTTGTGTACAGTCCTCACCTTATATTTTGACTGAGGAGCAAAAATGGAATTCAGAGTCTTGAAAATGAGATTCAGAAAAATACCATTAAACTGAGTGTGAAACAAGAATTGATGCAGTAAAGTTTCTATTAATGTTTTTCCCCTCAGTGAAGCCTGTTCCCAAAACAATACATTATTTTTCATTACTAGGTTATTACCATGATTTATCTTTCGATTTTCTGGGAGTAAATGTTCTGTATAAACTAAATGCTATTCCAGTCTTGTGCAAGGCTTTAGATTCCTCGTCTGTAAATGAACAGTGACTTCCTTGTGAAGGACTTTGAGTGGGTCAGGTAAAAGCACAGGATCAGACTGAAGTATGTGCTCCTGACAAAGTAAATCTCCTCCCATGTGAATTTGAACTTGTATGTGAACTGTGGGGTTCTTCCGTGCATTTTAGTTTCTCCATCTGTGTCCCTTGCTTGCAGCTGGCTTGAACGTTACTAGTTGGATGTCATTGTATGATGTCATATCTGAAAATAACTTCATAAGTCAGACTTGAAAGCTTTGTTTTGCAATAAAGTATTAAGCATATACACGTGTGAGCTTTTTTAATTGATTTTTGGTTCACAGCTGCAGCAAGAGTCAGCATCAGTTACTCAAGATAAGAAAAAGAAAGAAACTTCTAGTACAAAACCAGAGTCTGCTGTTGAGTCAAGATCATTTAACAGAACAGAATCTTCTCCGGTAGAGTCTTGGAGTAAGGAAGATCCAGTGCCTTCATCAGGTGAATTAAACATTTCAAGTGTAATCTCAGGGCAACTTGCAAATCCAGTTACTTAATTTTGTAGTTACCCTTGCTTTAAAGCAGAGGAGACTGTTATAGCGTATTGTTCTTGAGAATATATTGTAGACACTTTAATATCTATTTCAGAGCTTCAGGGGGATGCTAATTTTCTCACTGTGGATCCTGTCACAGTGTCAGAATTCTTACATATTTGTTGTTCTCTCTCAATAATGTTTTCTTTCATTCCATGTGGTGTGGACAATATCCCATATTGCTAGTAATGAGATGATATCATCAAGTACTTCTGTTAAATACCTACTTTATATTATGTTATCAGACTACCATAAGTATAATTTACAGGATTACAGCTGGATTTTTGTGAGAACAGCTAATTTGAGGTACTGTTCACTTCTCCATATGGCTTCTGTATCTTCAGATTCTGGTAGAAGAGGAATGTATAATTGCCAAATGAGGCACTGGATTTTATTTTGCTGGGTTTTTTACAGTGGTGGTCTTTGTGCAACTTAAGTGGTTGAGATAATTGACTAGATCATGTAAGAGCATATTTAACATACAGCTTTTGAAAGGCCAATTGCTAAGAGAAATTGTGCAGTTACCTATTAAAGGAGAACTAAATTAATCTGAAAATACTGTTACTTTTTGTAGGGTAGTTTCTGAATTTTACTTGTTGCTGAAATTTGCTTCCTTCTTTTCATTGTGTTCTTTTACATAATATAAGCAGAATGTATTTGGATGGGGGGGATTTTTTCCCTTTATTTTCACTATAATATACATTCACATCTTCATCTGCTTTGCACCTGTATTTTTCCTGATTTTAGTTTGTGGAATGTTTTGATCCATGTTTACATTCACTTCAGGCCAGACTGTCTTTGATGGTTTACTGCATGTAGATATCTTCTGTCTGTTCTCGTGGCATTCGTTCATGTCCCTGATACAGCCAGAAATGCCCATGACCTAAATTAATCAGTGTTGTCAGAGATGTTTATTTTCACTCGTCCAAACGGGGCAGAGCTTTCAGGAGAACATGGCACACTTTGTTAAACCAACTGCTGTAGCTGGAAAAGCAGCAGACTAATAGCAGGAGGCACAGTTGTAGATAACCCACCTTTCTATTCTCCGAGACCTTCTGGAATTACAGCATCACTAAATACGTCAGTCTTTCGCATTGTCATTCAGGCTGAGTGTGAGGGTTCAGTGCTTTAGTAAACAGTCCATTGGGTTTTGGAGTCGCGAAGTGAAACTAGGTAAGAGTGTGTGTCTTAATTTGGAGTTCTTGTCATCTGGCAGCAGCTTCGGGGAAGATACTGATCTGGTTGGTTTTGGGAGACAGATCTGTTCCCAAGAGCAGCGGGGCAAGAAAGACTGGAGATTTTTTTATCTTGTCCCAAACTTTCCCTTTCCTTGTGTAGGGCAAAGCCTCACTATTTCTTCTCTCATCCTGCTGTGTTCAGGAAGTAGTATTAAGGTATAGAGAGCAGAAGGAAGACCCCTGCTCCCCATCCACTGCTGTATGCTAGTAATTAGAACATACCTTCATCATCCTGTATCGCTTACCCAGTTTTAATTAGCATGTACATTATTTTGATCTTTTGTGTTTGGTAATACAGTAATTCTTAGAATGTGTCACTAAGTTGTTCAAATATGTATTTTAATTCAATTTATTTAATATCTCTAACAGGAACAGTGAAGACATCAAAATTTAAGCCTGATCCAAAACTTATGGACCATGGTCAATCCAGCCCAGAAGATGTGGATATGTACAGTACTAGAAGCTAAGACAAATATGCTTACAAATCTTTGCAAAGTGTTACAGATAGGGGGAGGGAAAGAAGGGAAGGAATATTCCTTATGATACATACTCTGTGATGTATAATTTAATCAGGTATTTTCTTATATCTCAATTTGTATTATTAACCTACGTGGTTCTGTTTAGTGAATGTTTTGTTTCTCTCTACCTATAAGCGGTGAGAGTTCATTCATTGTCAGTGTCATTAGTGAGACACTGAGAAAGTGACATTTGTCAGTGTGTTCTCACAATGAGGTTTCTCTGTGCCAAGCTTGTTAATAAATGTCACTTTACAAAGGATATTTGAAAATGTAAACATATGTCTATAGTTCAGCTCAGATGTTCATTGACGTGAAAGAAGAATGTGATGGATGGGGTTTGCAGAAGCTTCTTTGTCTTTTTCTTCTTTCAGCTCCAGAATGAAGGGCAAGAGAGTAGCTTTAAAAAGTCAGTTGTTACATCATCCCAATGGCATTATCTTCAATGCTTGTATAAACAAGCCACTTTTTTTTCATTTCAAAGTCATTTGTTGTCTGCCTCTTTCATAAAGGTGAACGGAAACAGCATCTTGTGCTGAACGCTGCTTTTGTATTTAAATGTTACTGAAGTTTGGAAGAACACACAACTAACCTCTAAAACATCCTTTATAGACTGCATTAGTTTTCATCTCCTTCTAATACTTTGAAAAACTGTATGCGTATTGCTTAATCCATGAAGCTGATACTGTTTGAATTTATATAGAATGCATTAATAATGTTCAGAGTTGGAAGCCATCTGTAGTTTTGAGGCTTAAAGTGCTTGCAAGTATTAAAAATGTAGAAGTAATAGGCAACCAGCTCTTTCTTCATGGACGTTTGTAGGCAACACCCGTTGATCTTGGTAGGGTTTCTGTAAAATCCTGTCATTTTCCATAAGAATGAATTTAGACATGAAGTTTCCTAGAATGAAACTTTCCAACACTGCTTTTATCACTGTGTATAGCACTTTACTATAGCAACTCATATAAAGGTTGGAACAGATCTGCTGGCCTTCCTTGATCAAAGTACAACTCACAGTGATGATCACCCTGCTGCCTAGAGATAATCTCACCTGTGTCTAGTGTGGCACTTCCCTAATATATAAACTGCAAAAGGACACTGTGCTTGTACTTTGTCCTTTGATCTGCTGAATTCTGCTACCTTTCAGTTAATGAAAATACGTGCTTTGTTGTAACGTTGAAGGGGGAAGCAAGAACAAACTTACACAAAAGCATAGTTTGGTTGGATGATATGAAGGGATATTTGCTCATGTTCTCCATAAAAAGAGATTTCACAGTCTGATGCCTTCTTCTGGGGCTGATAATGTAAAGGCAAATGACTAGTGAAATACAGGCAAGCAGCATTCCTAGTGTTATTGAGGGACTAGCAGAAGTTGTGAGGAAGATGCACGGTGCATTGTCCACAGGGCACACGTGATGAATAAGCAAAAGAATAAGTAAGGCTTTTAGGATGCTTCGGAAACAGATAAGTATTGATATTTTGGAATCCAAATTTCGGGAAACGTGTTGGACTTTGTTACAGAGTCCAAAGTAAGGTGAAGTCAGTAGAAGTGAGGTTTAAAGAAGAAAAATTTTGTTAGTGAAATTTGCTTAGGACAACTGACTTAGAATTTAATGTGTTGTGTTTCTCTAATCATCTCCTACAGTCCAGAAAACTCAGACTTCAGGCAGCAATCAGAGGATATTAATCTTTACAGAGCTCCTGAACAAGACACATTGTGTTCCATCACAGAGAGAGGAGTTAGAAAAATTAAATATCTGGGCTTCATATACCACTTCCAGGGAAACAGATGAAGATGTAAGGCAGGAAGTGAAAATGAGGAAGAAATTACTGCTTACAAGGGCAAGACTGGATGGCAGAAATTGTAACATCTATCTATCTTTGATCAGATTCTGGATAAAAAACATAATGCAAAAGCCATCTGCTCTAGTCCTAGATTCTATTTAAATTCTAACTTACGTCCTTTGAGTCAACAAGAAAGGTAAGACGATGCAGGTTTGTGTGGGTTTAGTAGGGCTTTACTGTGGTGATGCTTTTCAGTACATAGTAAGAAACTGTGCACAAGAATTAGTCTTCTGGGAGCAGGGAGAGAAGATTTCTTGGATAGCTGTTAAGGAACAAGAATGTCTGCCCTTTCCAGGCAAGAGTAGGCCTTAAAAGACTGTGCTCTACTGCAGTGCCAAAAGCTAGTCTGGTCCTTTCTGTACTTTTAAGGTCATTACTTACTCAAACCTCATGATGCAAATGAAAGTGTCTGGTCTGCAAAAGGAGCGTTGACCTCCATGGTGGTTAGGCAGTCAGGAGTTAGATGTTCCATGCAAGCAGTTTGTGTTGCAACCTCTGATTTTACAGAAAGTTTGTGATATAAATGGACATGATACACAGAGCTGTCCTTAGGCTGTATTTTAATGTCAAATTACTCCTTAGGGCAAAATTGTAGTAGAACTACAGTAACACCTCAGAGTTGTTACTCAGAAGTCTTAAATACATCTTCTGGGACACAACTTAAAATTAGTGCTCCTACCCACTTTGATGAATGAACAGTATGTGGAATACACTTCTAGAGCTGATCAAATGGTCCCTGTGCTGTGTCATACCTTCTTGGTGTATGAGTGAATGAGCAGAGATTTATTCCAGTGCAGGGTGTGCCTGCTGCCATCACTACTTAGCTTATTTTTTTCATCAGATGACATTTCCCTTTTTCAGTTTTTTTTCTACAAGACAAGGGTATATATTTTTTTGGTTTTTATCACCAGTTTTTGTTTAATATCCTCATGCAGTTGAAAAGCTGGGACTAGAGTTAGTGGCTTAGGTGTTGACACTGAAACTGTTACAGCTAAAGATGACAGTTTCCCTGTCAGCAGCCATAATCGCTCTCTTAGTTGGTATTTCTGTCCTGGAGCATAGGTTTATCAGTAATGGGGAGGAATGTTTTTAGTAAAGCCTGGAATATGCTATATTGCAATGGTTCCTTGCTAACATAACTTCTGTTGGAGTCAGTCATTGTCTTGTCCACCCATGTGAGATACTTGATAAAGAGAAATTTCTAGAGGTACCAAAAAAGATGCAGGTTATTATAGAGAGGTTTGGAATGTATTTGCTGGAATGAAGGCAGCCCAGTTCAGATGAGTAATTTGCTCTTGTACAAATATTGGAATGGTGACTGTGAATCTTTATTCCTTGGCTGCCATTTCCTGAAGTGTTTCTTTGTAAAAAGCTGCCTGCTCTCCTCAGTTCAGACATCTGAACCTCCGCATTTTGTATAATACTCTACAGATGGCTTGTTCCAGATAACTACGAGGAACTGTAGCCACATCTCTGTATTAATAATTTATAGTAAAGGTGCTATGCAATGGCTTTAAAAAAGCAAATTCAAATCTCCATTATGCCATGCTTGTGAGTCCTCTTATTAAATGTGTGCCTGACTTATCTCTTGAAGATTTCAGCCCCGGTATGCAAACCTGTTACAATGAGAAACTAACGTGAGTATGCAGGGGAAGTTGCAGTGCAAGACATGGGTTTATTAACTTATAGTGAAACACTGAAATGCCTCTCAAATGTGTCATGAATGGTCACTTACAGTTCCTTTCATGATGCAGTAATACAGTAACATAATACAAGTGAGAATGTGTACTGTAATTTTTATATATTTGTAAAAAATTCAAGGTCTCAATAATAACCTTATGATATTTTATAATATAGAAAGTTTTAATTTAATGCATGTTTTTTATTTATGATTGTATTGGATATTCAGAGATTTGGAACTCGTTGATATTAATTTTTTATTTGCATAAACCTGATTGTGATACTTTATTTTGTCATATTGTTGTGAAGCACCTGAAAATAAAGGTGATGCGATGCTTTTTAAAGATTACGTTTAACTTTTGTGTTGTCCCCTCTGCAGGGCGGATTGTCAATGCCTTTTATCTGAAGTACATTTTAAGAGTTAATTTGGTAAACATGGCTTAAGTCACCCCTGTTTCACTTATGTTGGGGGGAAAACCTTCACCTCTGAGGTGCTGATACATACATTCCTGGTGAAATCACTGCAGTAACATCCAGGACATGTTAATGCTCAGCATTCTGGGGTTTATGCATCTTAAATTCTGCTAAGAGCTGTCATTTTCTTTTCTTGGTGATTTCTTCTAAAGGATGCTGTAGCTCACAGCTTGGAAAAAGAAGGCTCTTATCTGTACTGGAGGAATGACAGAGGCAGGTAGCAAATACATTTATCTCAGTACGGCTCCGTGATAATCTTGCAGGTAAAGTAATTTGCCTATCCAGGGGTCATAAATAATGTAATACATGGTGTAATCTACAGTGTAACTACTTAAAAGAAGAAAAATAGTGTGACTAAATAATGTGGCTATTTTGATGGCAGATTATCCTTATGATTCTTGAATAACTTAGGAAATACTGTAAAGATATTTTAATGCATCTGTGTAATTATTGTGAAAGTTTGGAGTATCTCTGAATACATTCAAATACAGAAAGTGTATTAAATCTAAAAAGAAAGTGGGGTCCAAAAAGCCTGTACTTCTTAAAAAGGAACATGAGTATGCACAAGGTTGTAGTTTTTATTTTAAATTGCAGGGGTTCTGAGAAGCAAAGCTCAGATACATGCTGATGGTGAGCTACCACCAAGACAGACTGTCACTGAACCATTCTGCAAGTTATGTTATTATTTATATTACCACAGTGCTGATGTGCTGCTCTTCACTTCAGAGAAAGCACGAAAATCAAACTGAAATGCTAAGGAGGAGGAGGAGATCTAAAAGTTCGCAAATTTGTTACTTTTTTTTTTTTTATTTGAAGAAACTTCTTTGCATTTTAAAGCCCAATGGCTGGATCTATAATTTGTGGTGCAAACAATGAGTATATCGGTACGTACTAACACATTGGAGAAGAGAAAGGAGAAGGAAGTGGAAGTTTGATCCCTAACTCAAAAGTGGTGAAAGGGACGTGCATTTGGAGTACTGAGCTACTGAGTAGGAACACTGTCAATCAACATGCAATCAGTTCTTTGCCCTGTCATTTATGGGCTGTAGGAGATTG